ATACAGCAACTTTTCATCTCTGACTGTAACGCGGAAGAGAAGCGCGGCTTTAAGAATCGTGCGACAGTTCTCGATACGCCGTCAGCACGTGGTCAGCCGACAGGAGTGGGGCTGCGCGACACGTGACAGAAACAACCCCGAAGCACTGTCAAAACTACTGTTTCCATGCGTAACCTAACCCCTCAGAGGTGCGTCACGCCTCTGCAAAACTGGACACTGGTCACCCCAGAACGAGTCGTTATTTATTCATACGCGGGGAACGCGATTTTTAACCCCCTCGCGTGTTCCACATACAAAAAAATCGATGAGACTGGAGGTGCAACAAGCCTCAGACACTGTCAGAATAAGATAAAATAATTCTGAGGAGCTTTTTTTTGTATTTTGTCAGTTTGGTTACGTGGATTAAGATGTAAATGAACTGTAAAGTAAATATTTATTCAATTAAAGATATCTATTGAACTTCGACTATTGCCGCGCTCGTACGCATGGAACACATAAGAAACCGTAAACAAACGCTGTCACGATCCAAGCCACTGTCGATATATCTCCTAACATATTTTATTACCGTGATAGAGGGCAAAATCTTCAAGAAGACAACCCGAATTGTTGTTAAAAGAACTCTCCACCACAGCCCCCCGAGGTGGAGCAATCCCGATGGTAACACATCGCTCAAAATAATTCTAAGAAGCTCGTCGCTAAAACAGTGCAATTTTTAAAAAAATATCAACTTATAGAGACCGATGAGTCGAGACTTTTTTATATCTACAGTTTATTCGTACGACGTGCAGCTTCGAAAATAAAAATTGTTAAACTAGAAGTCCTTTTTCCTGAAAGTCAATTCGAGTTAATAACATTCCAGACGACTTTAAACGCTTGTAATTCTGTTACCCTTACTGGTAATTTCAGTAAAGCCTGTTTAATTTCGACTAACTACCTAACCATGGGAATCTAACAAATTCCTATCGAACTTATCACCTCCCTTAACAGTTGATCGTCAATAGATAGTGGGAAACGAGCAAACAAGATCCGTAGTAAAAGTAACTTGTGCGAATCTACTCGAGTTACAGGCGTTTAATGATAGACAACTACAGGTCAAAGATCGTTACCTCCAGGGAGGTGGAAACCAGAGAGTACCGGTGTCGGGTTCGTTTACTCGATTCTCCATAGTCCGTATGGGGTTCGAGTTATAATGGAAGGAGTCAATCAATCCTCGCTGTAGCGAAACTAGTTAACTAGCAGCGCTAATTATCTCATTTCTCCGGGCCGAGTTCGCTGTACCTGGGAGATCTCGTGGAACGATCGAAGATTTTGTTGATTAATTGCGTGGCGAGCGCTATCGAGCCGCCACTTCAGAATTAATTTCACCTCGCGCTAGTCCAATCAAAATCAAGTTACTGTTCCTAGAAAAATTATGTCTTGATTCTCTCAAGATTCCCATTCGTCCACCACAAGCCGTCGATATTTCTTTGCAATGTTTTAGGATGCAATAATAACGATAAACCGTGGGTGCGTGTATGCTCTTCCTGGGGGATCAATCTATACCATGAGGAAATGTCCACCGATGCTTTCGCAAAGATATACGTAGGCTCAGTTAGACCTTCATTTCTACGGTAAAATTTAAATTGGGAGTGCTCGTCAACCTTCAATGGGAAACGCTATTAATTCTTAGAGTAAGTTAGCTAAGAGTTAAGTAGCGGTTACACAAATTCCATGTTAGACACAGGAACAAACGAGAATCCAGCAAGTAGGGAGGAAAATCCTCACCGAGAAGAGCATCACGATTCAAATATAAACTATTCATTCTTAGAAGCGTTGCTACAGTGCTTTTAAAGTAGCAGTTACACAAATTCCATGTTAGACACAGGAACAAACGAGAATCCAGCATAGTAGGGAGGAAAATCCTCACCGAGAAGAGCATCTCGATTCAAATATAAACATCTTCCCCACCAGCCAAATGTAAATTTCTAATGATTCTACGCGTAAAGTTTTCATTTGCTATTCAATAATTCCAGCTAATTCCAGCCATGTCTGATTAATAGATTCTCTTTTCAAGAACCAACTCACCCGTGACATCTCAAGTGACGGGTCGTAGCAGGAGATCGATGACTGGTACTCGAAGAGTATGCTGACGAAGGAGGATGGCTTGGCGGCGATACGGTTTCTTCAGGGCCCGACGGACAACGAGGTTCGACTGCGTTCGACGCGGACGGCTGGCCTTCACTGAAGCGCCGGCGTCGGCGTCGGCGTCGCGATGCTCCTGCCGTAATCCTGATCGCGTGCCTGATCGCCTCCACGCGAGCTCCCGTGGCTCTGACTCGATCCACGGACCAGGAGGGTTGTTCCACGTCGAATACTGCGACTGCCTCCGTAGCGTCGTAAACTCAGCTTTGTCAGTTAACGACGTCGGGCGTCGCGATAACGTGCCTGCCGTGCACATCGCGTAATTTATGATCGCCAAGTTTCCAGGCTATCGAGCAATTGTTTCGCGTCCTATCGATTCTGGGTTAAAGCCCTGATGGAGGTATGTTGAACCAATTAGAAGGAATAACTGGAGAAAAGGGAGTCCTCGGAACGGATGGAGGTTTCAAGTGCTTGTAGTCGATGAATTATGTTGTGATGAGTGGGTTACATGTTAGGATAAGGCTCGGTGGTCTTAGGACCTAAGAAGACGTAGCATCTAAGAGCCAGAGATGGGCAAAACCCTAGGCTTCGAATAAATCTGAAGTTTGCCAATATGTTTGTCTCGTTGCCTCTTTTGAACATTTTCCAAAGAAGGAAACGAGACAAACATATTGGCAAACTTCAGATTTATTCGAAGCCTAGGGTTTTGCCCATCTCTGGC